TCTCAGTGCCAGCTTTGGAACCAGAAAAGTCATCTAACCCATTCTGTGAGTTTTTTTCTAATCTATTACAGTTGTACTTTTATCTTCATTTTGGGTAGCTTATATTTCTAAATTAGTAATGCTTGTATTTGGGAGAGCCTGGGGGGCTCAGTCAGTCGGGTGTCCAACACTTGATTTTGGCTCAGGTTGTGATCGCAGGGTTGTGGAATTGAGCCCCATATAGGGCTCTGTGCGTGGCATGGAGCCTGTTTGAGATCCTCTCTCTCTCCTCCCCTCCCCCGTTCCTTTCACCAGCTCAGGTACTCTCTCTCTAAAAATGAAAAATGTTGGGGCACCTGGAGGGCTCAGTTGGTTGAGCGTCCGACTTCAGCTCAGGTCGTGATCTCACGGTTCATGGGTTCAAGCCCCACATCGGGTTCAGTGCTGACAGCTCAGAGCCTGGAGCCTGCTTCCGATTCTATGTCTCCCTCTCTCTCTGCCCCTCCCCCAGCTCACACTCTGTGTCTCTCTCTCTAGAAAATAAACAAACATTAAAATTTAAAAAAATTAAAAGAAAAAGAAAAATGTAAAAAAATTAATAAATTAATCATGCTTATATTTGTTTTTATAATTGTTAGCTTTACTTCCATTCTTACATGAATTCCTTTCCATTACGCTTTCCATTTTATACCATGCATTTAGGTTCCTTGATTTCCTTTTGTTCATTAGCTTTCATGCCTTCTCCTCCACTGTTTGTGCATGAACTTTCTGGAATTTCTGACACTTTTGTTCTCTAACTTGAAATACTAAGTTTACAAATCTGAAAACATTCTTTAATCATAATTTTCTCTTTTACTTTCTTTGGTCTTTTATTGCAACTCTACTGTGAACCTTAGTTGATTGACATCTCCACTTTTTTTAAAGTTTATTTATTTTGAGAAAGAGAGAGAGAGAGAGAGAGAACATACGTAAACAGGGGAGAGTCAGAGAGAAAGGGGGCAGAAGATCCAAAGCGGGCTCTGTGCTGACAGCAGAAAGCCTGATGGGGACTTGAACTCACAGACCATGAGATCATGACCTGAGCCAAAATCAGACACGTAACTGGCTGAACCACGCACATGCCCCACATCTCTGCTCTTATCCGCCACCCTGTACTTGGTGTCCCCCCCACATCTGTTTAGGATTTATGGCCAATCGTTTCACTCAGCATCCATCATCCTGCACTTGGTTACTTGGTTTCGTGCCCCACCCCAATCTATTTAGGAGATATGGCCAATAATCTCACTTACTTTCGCTAATTCCCTAAGTCAGTGGCTTTCAGCCTGTGCTGCCGGGATTCATGAGGGTTGGTGGTTGAAACCGTGGGCGCAGACTAGGGCACCTGCGAAGAGCCTGCGGATTGAGAACAGATTTCTGGCTCAGCCCTGAAATGATAGAGAATGCTAGTGTTTTTTGTTTTTGTTTGTTTTGGACGAATACTATTGAAAGGCAGGCAGGAAGGGCAAGCTATAGTGATGGAGACCTGGGCAAACAGAGAAGAGGGCCCGTTGCTGAGGCAGCAGCCCTGCTCAGAGAGCACATGGGGCCCTGAGGGGGGAAGCTGGCTGCTCGGTCACGACTGACCGTGGCCGGGACACCGGGCACGGCACGGTGAGCGGGAAGTCACGCCGGGGGTCGGAGGAGCGAGTGAGCGGTGCGCAGCGCGGGCCTGCAGGTGTCACCGCCTGGGCGAGGAGAACGTCGGGTGGTTGTTAGAAGCTTCGAGCACCTGCCCATTCCGCCCGCAGCCTCTGCAGCGGCCGACAAGCGGCAGGCCCCCCGCATGCTCGCCGGGCCGGGCAAGGCCGCCGCACCTTGCCTGCTCTCACTTCCCTGGCATTCTCGACTCCACTTCCCACCCCGCTGCCCCGTGGGACTTCTGTCTGCACCGTCCACGAGCCACTTGTGGCAGATGTGCTTCTGTGTCCCTGGGGGAACGGAAGCCCTCAGAAGCGACCGTGTCCGTGCTCCCGCCGCACACCCGCCTGCAGCGGGCCTCCCCTGCTCCGCGCCCCCTCCTGCTTCTCCTCGGGCCTGGGGCGCACTGTCTCCCCGGCTCCTTAGCTGAGCACGTGCCCTTAGCACGTCTCCCTTCTCTTTCTTGCTGCAGTAATTTCTCTCAGCTGGAATCTTGCGACAACTGTGTGTAGCTTTTCTTTTTTTTTTTTTTTTAATTTTTTTTTAGTGTTTTTATTTCTAGGAGAGAGAGAGAGAGACAGCGTGAGCAGGGGAGGGTCAGAGAGAGAGGGAGACACAGACTGAAACAGGCTCCAGGCTCCGAGCTGGCCGTCAGCACAGAGCCCGACGCGGGGCTCGAACCGACGAACCGCGAGATCATGACCTAAGCGAAAGTGGACGCGTAACCGACTGAGCCACCCAGGCGCCCCGCTTTTCTCCTCTTACAAACCCCTCTTTACAGTCCTCATCGCATTCCTTTTGCTTCCCTTACTGCAGAGTTCCTGCGAAGAACTAAGTACGTTCTGTTTCCAAGTCTTCTCTCCTAATCTGCTCCAGGTGGGGCTGTACGCTCAGCTCTCCGGGAAAACCGCTCTGGTCAAGGTCACCGACAGCCTCCATGTTGCTAAATCCAGGGGTCGGTTCTCAGTGCTCATCTTGCCCGGCCTGTCGGCAGCATTTGACACGGCTGGTGACCCCCTTTCCTACGTGGCCTTTCTCCATGGGGCTCCCAGGACGTCACAGCCTCGTTTGCCTCCTCCCTGCTGGGGCCTCCTGTCAGGCTGGCTTCTGCGTATTTGAGAGCTCCCGCTTGGTCCTCATGCCCGAGGGTGCAAATCCCGTCTGGTGTCAGGGCTTTAAATATCTAGCTGCTTGTGGCCTTAAAAAAGCTCCTAGCGGGGCTCCTTTCCCTGGACTGTACAAATTTTATATCCACTAGCTCGCCCAGCCTCTCCACCTGAGTGGATAGTAAGTATTTCACATGCAACAGTGTTAACTGTACTTTTCACTTCCAATCCAAGATGACTTCATCATAATGTCTCCCGACTCAGGAAATGGCCACTCTCTCTTTCCACTTTCTTAGGCCAAGCCCTCTCAAGTTGGCTTTCAGAACACAGCCCGAACTTGATCATTTGTGATGAGCCCATCACACGGCTCCAAGGGACCTCCGCTTTGGATGATTGCTCTGCTCCCCTGATGGTCTGACCTTGCCTCTTCTAAGTTACTTTCCACACTGGGCCTAGACGAGCCTTTTGCACGCGGTCATGGATTCTGTCTCCCTCCGCTCAGAGCCCCACCACGGCTTCCCATTGGAGTCAGGGTGAAGCCCAGCCCTTTACTGTTTGGGAGAGCTGGCACTCACCATGCTCTCTGCACAGCAGGTGCACTTTTGGAACTAAGAGCATAGCCGTGAACAGAACAGAGTTCTGCCTTCACTGAGCTTAGTTTCCAGAAAGAAAACAGCCAAGTCAGTAAACCGTGGAGCAGAGGATGACTTGTGCTGGGGTGGGGGCCTGGGGAGCGCCTGCAGGGCCGAGGGCCGTGCCTCAAAGGTAACACCCGAGGAAAGACCATGGGAGCAGAGAAAGCATGGCGTGCAGCCGTCTGCGGGGAGGTGTTCACAGCCACGGGTCTGAGTCGGGAGGAGCTCTCGTGTGCTCGGAAGGCTAGAAGGAAGAAATAAGAGATGAGCTCCATCTTCCGGCTCTTAGTTCCGAAAAGTGTACCTGGTACGGCAAGCCCTCGGCAAGTAATTTTCGAATGAATCGAATTTCCGTTTGCTTGTGTCATATTAGTTCCCTTGGCCACTTGGCCCCTCTGGCTCTGACCTGCCTGCCAGTTTCTGCCCAGCCGCCTTCTTCCCTTGCATCGCTCTTCCGGCCCTGCTCAGCCTGCACCCCGTTGTAAACAGTCTCCCCCACCCTCGCATCTTCTTGAAGAACCTCTCAGTTTATTCCTTTACCAATAACCCGTTTCCTTTTTCACCCATTTCCTTCTCGTCAAAGGATTCTGGGAGGACGTGGTGGTGTTAACATTCTCTTAACCGGCCGGAGTTCTTAGTGGGTCCCCAGCAGCAGGCCGGTTTGATGCTTTTTACTCTCGGCTCCTTTTTGGTCACTGTCAGTATTGTCTGCTGTCATTCTCCCACACGTCCCAGTTGTGACGTGAGGCTCATGGTCTTCCTCCATTCCTAGTTTGTCACTTCCCAGATGACGCGGTGCAGTGGAGGTTCACACCTAGATCTAAGGTCCTTTTCGGTCATGTGGCCACCACCCCTGTTCAGAAGCCCACGCGTGGGCTGCTCCCCAGACTGCCGTCACCTGGAGTCGTTTCGTTTGAGAGTCTTCAAACTGTTGTTGCCCTGATCTCAGCTCTAGTAAGACTTAATTTCTAGCCCACTTGGTCTTTGACTGTAGTGAGATCTCTCATTTTATGACCCATCCTCTTTTCTCTATCATCCCCCCAGAATTAAATGGAATTTAGTTTGAATTTAATATTCAAAAGGTTTCTTGTTCAACTATAGTTTATTTTGATATGTGGTACATTTATTGAGTGATTATCCGCCCACATTGATTTGTGACACATCTTGTATATAGAACCAAATTAGATACGTTATTATATAATAGACTGTGTCATTGATCCGTCAGATTTTGGCACCAGCACTCTCTTTAAATGTTATTGAAGCTTATCAGTATGTTTTGATATTTGGAAGGGATAGTCGTGTCTCATTGACTTCAGTGTTCAGTATTGTTGGTGACGGGCTGGCTCTTCACACTTCCATATGGCTTTGAAAACATTTTGGTTATAGAAAGAAAAATCTTCATTGGGCTTCCCCCCCAATGATATTAAAAACTGGGCTATTTGACCTAGTGCCTGTGAATTAATATTTTATCAAAACTTTATATCTAAACATTTTACTTTTTAATAGATTGAATCCGTTTTGCCTAAAAAACCCAAAGATGTGTCTTTTATAATCTTCACAAAGATATGCGACAAATGTAAATGATCTGTTCATTTTTTTTCAGATATGTTTCCTTCTTTTTGCCGTCCTCTACGTTGTTTCCTACTTCATCATTACAAGATACAAGAGAAAATCAGGTGCGTAGAAACACTGTAATTAAAACTTAGATTATGGTGCCAGCTGATGTGTGGTATTTGGGCTGGACGGTGCCCGCGAGCCTGGTGGTGTCTGTGTTCGGTATGGCCGTGACTGCGGCACCCGGTGGCCTGGTACTGAGAGCGCTGACAGCACCACTGGGACATCTGCCCACTCGTAGGGTCATCACCCTCTTGCACCTGAGCCCTTGTTTTCCACGGTTCTTAAGTCCCACTAAGGATAGTGTGCGGCTGTTCAGCACCTGGAAATTCTAGAGTTTAGGAGGATATATGGGTCCTTGTGACTGGCTCTGACTTTGAACATGCATTCCGCCACACGTGCTTTCTCTGACTAGTGGACTGTCTTTACTTTTTCTAATTAATTCACAGGTTTTGTGCCACGGTTATCTAAGGACCAGAGCAGTTGCCTCACTGCCTTCTGGTACATTTCAGCTGCTTTCTGTAGATCACAGGCTTTTCTGCTTGTGATGCTGGGCTGATAGTAGTGCCATATGCATACTTAAGGATTCTGTATATTAAAAACTCTTTATGTCATAATATTAAACTTATTTGGGGCACCTGGGTGGCTCAGTCAGTTAAGCGTCCGACCGGCTCAGGTCATGATCTCACAGTTTGTGGGTTTGAGCCCCACGTCGGGCTCTGTGCTGACAGCTAGCTCTGAGCCTGGAGCTGCTTCAGATTCTGTGTCTCCCTCTCTCTCTGACCCTCCCCTGCTCACACTGTCTCTCTCTCTCTCTCTCTCTCTCTCTCTCTCAGAAATAAATAAAACATTAAAGAAAATAACTTATTAGACTTTTGAAAGCAATTAGGAAATAGTGCTTACTCTAGTATTTTAGTTTGACTCTATGATTACACTAAAATACTTCTTGAAATCTTTAATCTCTCAAAAATTTGAAGATCTGCAGATTCAACACAGTATCTTAATCATTTAAAACATTTTCTTTAACATATTTATTTTCAAGAGGCAGAGAGAGCCAGAGCACGAGCAGAGAGAGCTAGAGCACAAGCAGGGGAGGGGCAGAGACAGAGGGAGACACAGAATTCAAAGCAGGCTCCGGTCTCTGAGCTGTCACCACAGAGCCCGAGGTGGGGCTGGAACCTATGAACTGTGAGATCGTGACCTGAACTGAAGTCAGACGCTTAACTGATTGAGCCACCCAGGCACCCCAGTATCTTAACTATGTTTTAGATGTTTTAACATCAAGTTTTAATGATTATGAACACAGAAAGAACGGGAGAGAGAATTAATGAATATAAATGCACTGTTTTAGGGGAAATTAGAGGATGATGAACAGGAAAGTTGGAGTTTTATTAGATGATCTTTAGAGTCATGGCAGGGAGGGGTGATGGCCTGGCCACAGTTGATTGTGCGGAGAAGAAATGAAATGTATGAAGCTATTAAACCAGTCTTCAGTAGTTGATGGTTGACTGAGTGTGGGCATACCAGTTAAAAGTTAATTGTGACTGTATTATTTTATGGTCCTTTTGGTTGTGAGCTATTTCGGGCAGCCTGTAATTAAGAATGGAAAGGGGACTAAGGCAGTGGCTCAAATGCACCCTTGACACTAAAGCAGCTGGACACTCAATGACTGCAGAGGCCTCCACAGAGAGCCTTGGGGACGCCCCGTTAGGTGTGGAGGGGAAGGAGGGCAGTGGCCTTATCCGGTATTCCTGTAATTGGATCGTACTGTCTTTAGCTGGTGAGTTTACGTGGGGTGACAAAGAGGGCTGACAGCCATGAGAGAGAAGGAGAGGGAGGTGAGCGAGCTCTGGAGCAGAGGACATCTGCTACTTGGAGAAGACACAGAACTTGCTACCTTTCTGTCTGTAACTTGAAAGATAATTATGAAGCATTCGGGCAGCGGTATCTGAGTGGGTTAGAATCGTCCAAGAGAACTTTCATTATTACCACTAGTGATGACAGACTCAAATGAGAGAACAGTACATGTTCTCAAATTCTGAATTCTAATTTTATAGTAATTTTTGTCAGATATTATCAACTAAAACATTTCATTCATTAGCAATTACAATTTCACTTACATTATATGACAGTAAACTTGATAGTGGGCCTAATGTCCTACGAACTTTTATTCTCTTGAACACTAAATATTTGGAAAATTTTAATTTACATATAGTATTTTTGTTAATCAGGATTTTGGTTAATCGAAACACTCTTCTCTAACTAAATTCTATCCTAGGTGATTTAATGAGATTTGAATTTGGATCTGGGCTAAAATAAAAACAGTGCTATTTGCAAATCATTTCTGTTCATTAATCGCTTCTTTTAAGTTTCTCTTTTTGTTTATGTTTTGTAATAAATTAATGAAACATTTTATTGATAAAAAATTAATATCTTACACATTTTTACAGATGAGCAAGAAGATGAAGACGCCGTAGTCAACAGGATTTCGTATGTATTTTAAAATTCACTTGTTCTGTTTCTAATTCTGAAATCATAAGTTTTTCAAATGTAATTCTTATTTTTGGGCATAAATATGGAAAAAATTCACCAAAGTATTACAGTACTTTTTATCGATATTAATGCTATCCTAGGAGGCACATATAAACAAACACACATTTGGCTCTTGAACACTGTGGGGTTAGAGATGCTGGCCCTGGGCAGTTGGAAATCTGTGTATAGTTTCTGCCTGACCTAAAACTTACTAGTAGCCAGCTGTTGACTGGAAGTCTTAGTGTTTTGTGGGTTATGTGAGTTATCTACTCTATTCTAACAAGTAAGCTAGAGAAAGAGAATGTTACTAAGAAAATCATAAGGAAAAGACCTTTGCAGTACTGTGCCATACTTATAAAATATCACTTCTAAGTGGACTCCTGCATTTCTATTCCATGTTGTTCAAGAATCAGCTGTACATGGGTAATTGAGGATCGCCTCTTGTTAAAATCTCCTTGCTTGAAGAACCCGCATTTTACCTTCAGAGTTTTTTTTTATTTTTTAATGTTTATTTATTTTTGAGAGAGACAACGTGAGTAGGGGAGGGGCAGAGAGAGAGGGAGACACAGAATCCGAAGCAGGCTCCAGGCTTCGAGCTGTCAGCACAGAGCTTGACATGGAGCTCGATCACACGGACTGCGAGATCATGACCTGAGCTGAAGTCGGATGCTTAACCGACTGAGCCACCCAGGTGCCCCTTACCTTCAGAGGTTTTAACCAGGAAACGGGCTTATGGTTGGCACAATTGCTGGGTCATAAGAGAAGACTCTTGCTGTGTGGTCTGCTGAGAATATTGACCATGTTGGAATAGGGAGCAGGTACCTGTTCTGGTTGTACATTTATCCGTTGTGAGCGGGGCGACGGCCTCAGATGGTCTTGAGGTTCCGTGCGACTCTCTTCCTGCATCTGTATGCTGCTCGCGTGTGCTTGGTGCACCCTTTCATCTTTCTGAGGCATCAAACTGGATGGAAAGCAGTGAGTTTCTTTCTATCAGCTTTTGCTTGATTAAAATTTGAAATCACACAGCTCCAGCTACATAGGAGAGTATCTCTTATTTTAATTCTTTTTTATCGATACTTGAAAAATTTTGGGCGTAGTTTTGAGTTTATAGAAAAGTTAGAAATATGATTAAAAAAAGCCTCGCCCCACCCCAAACTGTTTGAGAAGTTACTGGCCTGGTTCATTTCCCCGGATACTTTTTTTTTTTTTTTTTTTTTTTTTTTNTTTCCCCGGATACTTTTTTTTTTTTTTTTTTTTTTTTTATCTCTAGGAGAGAGAGAGAGAGAGAGACAGCGCGAGCAGGAGAGAGTCAGAGAGAGAAGGAGTCACAGACTCCGAAACAGGCTCCAGGCTCCGAGCCGGCAGTCAGCACAGAGCCCGACGCGGGGCTCGAACCCATGAACCGCGAGATCATGACCTAAGTGAAAGTCGGAAGCCCAACCGACTAAGCCACCCAGGCGCCCCTCCCCGGATACTTTTGTATTAAGTTCCTATAAATGTTACGTTCTCCTCTGTATCTAGTATACAGGCATCAAAATAATGAGATGGCTACAGTAGCACTGAGGCCCCACTGGGTGTGGCCCAAGGACCCCGTTTAGCACCCACACTGCACGTAGTTGTCATGTCCTCACTTCTTCAGTATGTCCTTGACTTCCCTGACCTTGGTACTTTTAAAGATCACAGGCCAGTTATTTGGATTTGTTTTTTCACGATTCATATCAGATGATTTATCTTTTGTTGGGGGGGGAGGAGGTGAGTCGGGGAGGGGGCCAGAGACCACATATACATACATAACGTACGCAAGTGCTCTCACGTATGCTGGAATAGTACGCAGCCATAAAAAGGAATGAAGTACTGACACACACTGCACATATAGGACTGGGACCTTGACAACATCTGCTAAGTGAGGGATGCCGGACACAGCGGGCCACATAGCGTGTGAACCCGTGTGTGGGGAGTAGCCAGGAGAACAGGCCACATGATGTGTGAACCTGTGCGTGGGGAGTAGCCAGGAGAGGCAGGCCCATCAGTGCCACGTTTATGGTTACAGGTTGGGGGGCAGAATGGAGAGAAATTGCTCAATGAATACAGAGTGTTGTTAGGGGTGATGAAGATGTGGGGCTGGAAAGAGGTGTGTTTGTACAACACAGTGAATACACTAAATCCTACTAAATTGTAACTTTCAAATGGTTAATTTTATGTTCTGTGAATTTCGCTTCAATAAAAAATGCTTTCAACTAATACGTGACTTGACTAGGGCTGATTTGATTCATAACTGAGCAGTGACGATTAATGGACCCTGTGTTACTAGACTTGGTAATTTAATGATCTTAAATGCCCTAGGGAAGACATCTGTAGCTTTATACTGGGGATTCTTGCTTGTGGGTTTAAAACTTAGGCCCATAACTTGATTTAAATCGACAGGATTAGGGGTCTTTGTTTTATTCCTAACATCATGACATTTGTGAAGATTCTAAGCGATTCATTATTTTTCTCTGTCTAAATTACGGCTCCTGTAAAAACAGAGTAATTCCCTTCCCTTCCCTGCGAAAGCTTCAGCGAATCGCAGACGGAGTGAAGGCAGGACAGCTCCCAGGCGAGGGAGCTGCTAGATGCGACCCGCTCTCCCCTCCGTGTCGTCTGTGCCTCAGCTCTGGTGGTAAATCTGCATCCGCACATTTGTGGGTCGATAATTCTCCCCGTGGCCGTGCCTCGTCTTCATGTGAGGAGGCTCCACAGCGTGGGGCTCTCTCCGTGCTCTCACCAGCTCTGCTGTGGCCCTCGGCTCTTCCAGCGCGTTCTGGGCCCTGTGGCCAGAGCGGACGTGCCCTTCCTGCAGGCAGCTGGCTGTGTGCCCACAGTAAAGTCTGGACAGACCATCGGAGCCAGTCTCCATCCCGACCCCCTCCTCTCCGTGACCTTGGCTTCCACTGCCTTCTCTTCCCTCCTCCTGTGACGGAATGAGTGACAATGGACAGGGAATGCAGATCCAGGCTAAAATTCTGAGCTCAAGATTGACTTGCGTCCAGAAGAGATTGAGAAACAAAGGCTTGCTGCCTCTGTGGGAAGGAGAGCACCGCTGAACACTGCTGTGCCCTGTGCAGGTGGCACGCTTCTGTGACACAGTCGGAGCTTGGGGCACGGTCCGCGGGACTCGGGGCTGCCTCCCTTCTCTCCACCGTCTCGCTTTGCCTTGCGTCCGCCACTGACAAAGAGGAGATGGAAGGCAAGGCCTGCTTGGCGGGAAGACCGAGTCCTCCGCTGCTAAAAGGAACCCGGCAAGAGCTCAGACGAGTTCTGGCATGTGGCCGGCGGGCCCGGGGCCACTTGACGCAGGGTCTCCACAGCGGCCTCCGCTCTCCCATCAGCGCGGAAGCCTGTTCCCCGGGCTTCCTCACCTCCCTTTACACCCTTGCTTTCTCCTCTGCTCCCCCTCTGAGTATCTACTCAGGCCCCTAGAGTAACATTGAAGCCAAAAGTTACATTTTCTGAGAGCTGCTGTCTGCTAGTTATTTGATTTGATTTGGATGAAAGTAATTGATGTAAAAATAGAATGCCTAATTGGTGACGCAGGAGCCGGTGCAGGTGAGAGAAAGGCCTCCATGCAGGGGCTAGGCCGGGGCTGGGGGGTGACCTGGTGGGTTCTCAGGGAGGTCCCCCTGCAGACAGAGATCCTGGCACAGGGTGTCCTCGTGAGGGATGAGGTGGAGCACCCACGTGTGTCCGGCGGCGCTCTGTCACGGGGGCCGAGCCCTCGCAGGGTGGAGAAGGCACCCGTGCAGCCTGGCGGAGCCCAGGTGGGTCGAGGAGGGCGTCCCCGAGGGAGGCAGGACCGTCCAGAGGCGCCTCTGCATGGGTGCGTGTCAGGTCGCCTACAGGGCTTGGCCCGGTAAGGGTAATGGAAGCCCTTCGCGGTTCGGGGCAAGGGAACGGAAATGAACAGAGTTGCTGCATTGCAGTTGGAAGTATCCGTGTGGACTCATGGGTTTCAGTGTAGAGTTACAGAGCCAGATCCAGATGTGACGGTGGGTACGCGTGAGTGTGTACACGCACGGACACGCATGCTGCCTCTGCCTGTTCACAGGGAGCCCAGCACCGCACCCACCTCATCACTTCTTTTTTTTTTTTTTTTTTATAAAATTTTTTTTTTTTTTAATTTCTAGGAGACAGAGAGAGAGAGACAGCGTGAGCAGGGGAGGGTCAGAGAGAGAGGGAGACACAGACTCTGAAACAGGCTCCAGGCTCTGAGCTGGCAGTCAGCACAGAACCCGACGCGAGGCTCGAACCCACGAACCGCGAGATCATGACCTAAGCGAAAGTCGAACGCTTAACCGACTAAGCCACCCAGGCGCCCCACCACCTCATCACTTCTAAGTACGGTCTTCCGCTAAGAGGACCCGGGGCTCCCTGGAGGCGAAGCTGACTGCAGGGCTGGGGGAGGGGAGTTCAGGCTCCTTTTGTACCCGCGGTAGCTGCCAGAATGCAAGCAACTGCTCCAAGAGGAGAGCCACGTCGACAAGACCTAGAAGGCGTCAAGGGCCTTCACACCAGCCAGGGACAGTCTGAGCATCAAGATACTGACCGTAGTGCACCCTACACAGGATAAAACAACAGTCTGCGCTTCATACTGATAGGAATCGGCAAGGGAATACATTGTTTGACAAGGAACAGGATATTTTTCCTACTTTCAAACTTAGCTTCCCAGAAAACACTGATGAAAAGGGAAGAGGGTGACGTTAGAGCGGAGCGCCCGGCAGACGGCGTCCTGCATCAGGCAGAGCGTGGCCACAGTGGGGCGGGCAGTTCTAGGCCGCCTGGCAGCCTGTAGACAGAAGCACGGAGCGTGGCTGCTGTCACGCTCCTGGCTCGTGGACGTGAAGGTGGGGGCGTCCAGCTGCTGCTTCCGCCCCCTGCCCCTTGCCCCAGCTCCACCCTTGCTCTTCTCAGACTGAACACCCAGACTCAGCCTTGAGCCCCTGCTCTCGGCCCTCTCCTCCCAGGAAGTCCCGTCCGTTCTGTCCTCAGAATCCGCTCCATTTTGGAAGGCGACGTTTCCAAAGCTGCCCTTGAATCTGAGGGCCACATCTGCAGGCCTGTGGGCTGTGACCACTCCTGCCCTTTTTTTGACCCAGTAGGGCCCCCTTGCCAGCGTTGGCGTGCACCGCACCAGCCTTTTCTGGGCGCATCGGCTCCCGTCCTGGCTGCTCACAGGCACTGCGACAGGCGGCAGCGGCTCGCCCGGATGCCTAGAGCCCAGCCCCAGGGCCCGGGATGCAGGAGATTGGGCAGCGTTTTGTTGAGAGCCGGCATTGTCATGGGGACCATATGTTCAGCATTTTCTGGATTGCCCGTGACTTCAAAAGCTGTACCTATTTGCATTCATAAGCTTACTTTTTTGTCAGATGACAGGTCCTATGGTTTCTTCCTGCTGGGTACGTGGTGCGCGTCATGTGAGCTGAGAGAAATGAGCGGGGTGGTGCTGAGGGTGCTCCATGGGGCACGTGACATAAGGGGACCCGAGGGGCAGAGCTGACTGTGCCCAGGGGCGTGGAGCCATGAACTACATTGTCTCTGGGGGTGCGAGAAGGCCAGGTTCCGCCCGCTGTGTGAGGGACTGTGTCGTGGAGCACACTGGAATGGCTGTGCAGGGCCTGGCACGGGGACCGGGCCAGGCCTGCGTGTGACCTGACTTGTAGCATTGGAGGGAAGAAGCGCTGGCGCTCAGGACAACTTCGTCACTTGACTTTCGAGGACAGAAGCAAAGTCGCACACTTCCGGTCTCTGGCTGGCCGTTGCCAGAGTTGGCAGTGGACTGGATGGAGATTTTTCCAGTGCTTTTCCCAGGAAACATGCCCGCTCAGCCAAACGGCTTGTGAGGCTTCTTCGGTGCCTGGTGTGTCTGTGCTGTGGCTGTGGTGTGTCACAGGGTCTGCATGTCTACATTACCAGCCGTTTACCGCACGGAGCTCTCACGGCCCTTGTGCCCGTTAAGTAGGAAAACGCTTCTGTCGGTGGCCACAAGGTGGCACTGGCCTCAGCGTTACTCTGGTACGTGTGTGTTTTGAACGTTTAGCATGATATTTTTTCTTTTACCTTTGTACGTTTATTTTCACATTTTCCTAAATTTACTAAATTGACTTTAAGGGGATGGATAGTAAATTAAGGCTCCAACTCTGATGTTGGTGAAGTTTTCTTTTGCCATTTTGGTCTTAAAAAATCTTAAAAAAATTAGATAACACATTTTAATCATTTCAGGCATGAATATCTGAGGAAGTGAAAGCCCCTTAGAACCCTGCTGTCCTACAGGATTGTCATATATTATGCTAGGGGTTTGTTGTTTGTTTTTTTTTTTTTGGTACCTCTATTTTCCTCTGTGTGTATATGTGTTTTTTTGGGGGGGTGGTGTGGGAGAAGCATGTTTTTCATTGTCCATGCCTTTTCAGGTTTTTAAAAATTTATTTCATGCTCTGTATTGGAGCATATTTACAATATCTTATTTTTAAAAATGACAAAATAGTGTTTTAAATATCTTGAATAGAAGGATATTGTTTAATAGTTCCCTTCTATTTACTAGTATCGTTTATTTTGCCTTTACTCATTTTAAGAGGTAGCTGACCAATGGCTTTGTAAGTTTTTTCCTCTTGAATTAACCATTTTGAACTGATTTGTTTTTCATATTGCCCTCATAAGTCGTTTTTTCACCTGAGTCGGCATTTGCACTGCTCTTACATTCTATTTGCCCAAGTTGTTAATTAAATGCCATTGTGAAATAAATATTTAAATTTAAAAGAGGGAAGAGACTATGGTGTATTCTTTTTTTTTTTTTTTTTTTTTATTTATTTCTAGGAGAGAGAGAGAGACAGCTTGAGCAGGGGAGGGTCAGAGAGAGAGGGAGTCACAGACTGAAACAGGCTCCAGGCTCTGAGCTGGCAGTCAGCACAGAGCCCGACGCGGGGCTCGAACCCACGCACCGCGAGATCATGACCTGAGCGAAAGTCGGACGCTTAACCGACTAAGCCACCCAGGTGCCCCGAGACTATGGTGTATTCTTTGTAAAATGTATGACGTACTCTCGGTCTTCAGTGTGTGAATCTTTCAGGGCCCACGTCCAAGTTCATGAGCTTCGCGTCTTAGAGTGTGTCTAACTGAACTTCCACTACCTTATGGGTATCGTTGGTCTCCCAACTGCATGCTTAGTGAAATTCCTATGTAACTCTTTCAGATTAAAAGATGCAAGAGTTCTTACCCTTTTTGAGTTTGTACCACATTCTGTGCCTTTTCCGGTTGCTGGTGACGGCAGTCTCTTCTCTCCCAGGCTGTGTCTGAGCACCTTCACGCTGGCCGTGTCAGCTGGGGCCGTGCTGCTCCTGCCCTTCTCCATAGTCAGCAACGAGATCCTGCTCTCCTTTCCTCACAACTACTACATCCAGTGGCTAAATGGCTCCCTGATCCACGGTCAGTATATATTGCTTGTTATAGTCACAGCGAATGGTTTCGTTTTTTTCCTGCCCTGTGTTTTTAGATTTGCCTTTTCTGAATTTGCTTCATAATTTGCATCTTCTTCCAATAGACCATGAGTCCTTCATAAAATCACAAAACCAGATTTTACTTACTTTCCCTATTCTTAGTTGTGAAAGGCTTTTTCTGTTTTACCTAATCAAGAAGCAATGTTTATACTTACAATGATTTTGATACTCATTTAAAATTTATTGAAAACTTTTAAAATTTAATTTTTTTATTTTATTTGTTTTAGAGAGAGTGAGTTAGGGAGAGGGGAAGAGGGAGAGAGAGAGAGAGAGAATGAATCCCAAGCAGCCTCCATGCTCAGCACAGAGCCCATCATGGAGCTTGATCCATGATCCTGGGATCATGACCTGAGCCCAAATCAAGAGTTGGATGCTTAACTGACTGAGCCGCCCAGGTGCCCCCATTTAGCAAGAGAATACTGGTTTATCTGCATGTGTGAAAAGAACTCAGCATCCTTTTGAGACCTAAAAATACTAACCATAGTTTTCTACTTTGTTTAATTTCCTGTTAGTAACTTTTGTCATTTAAAAATAGATAGCAGAAAGGGGGAAAACTTTTTTGTCAGTATAGACTTTAAAATTAATGTGTTTAAAAAATGACCTACTGGGGCACCAGGGTGGCTCAGTCGGTTAAATGTCCGACTTTGGCTCAGGTCATGATGTCAGGGCTTGTGAATTTGAGCCCCGTGTCCAGCTCCGTGCTGACAGCTCAGAGCCTGGAGCCTGCTTCGGATTCTGTGTCTCCTCTCTCTGACCCTCCCTTGCTCTCTCTCTCTCTTAAAAATAAACTTTAAAAAATATAAAAGGACTTACTATGGGCATTATAGTATATTGCTTGGAGGCCAAATATATGTGCATTCCAATCTTGACTCTTCCTTTCTAGAAATTTTTAGTTAGGTAAGACATTTTAATTTTAATGTATAAAATATGTTAAAAGATCTAATACATAGGTCTTTTTTTATATGTTTCATTGCCCTTCCCCCTTTCTTTCATACTGTGATTTGTGTGAAACACATCAGCTTTTTAAATGTTTTATTTATTTATTTGGGTGTAGGGGAGTTGCACAAGTTGGGGAGGGGCAGAGAGAGAGGGAGAGAAAATCCCAAACTGGTTATGTGCTGTTAGTGCAGAGCCCGATGTGGGGCTCAATCCCACGAACTGTGAGATCATGACCTGAGCTGAAATCAAGGGCCAGAGGCTCAACCGACTGAGCCGCCCAGGCGCCCCAAACACATCCGCTTTTCATTAGATTTTTGTAAATATGTTCTGGTTATTTTACTTTTTAATTTTATTTGCTTTTTAGATTGACAGGATTATTAACATTTTTATATTGTCCAGTCTTTTGTCTTCCTTTGGTTTCTCTAATTGTTTTGTTTAGAAGATCCTTTCCCTCCTGAGATATGACAAATACTGCCTCCCCTGCTACCATTTTCCAGAAATGATTTTGTTTATGCTTAACTATTTAATTCACTTGGAGTTTATACAACCGCCTTTTCTCTTACCCGTTGTGTTGAAAGAAATGGCTACATTTGCTGCAGAATATTTGGAAAACAGAATACTCGGTAAAAAAAATTGTTACTCCCAAACCTACCAGCACGTTACGGTTGTGCATTCCGTGGCCCGTGGCCTCGAGTGTGGACTGTTCCTGGGCACACATCACCAAGTGCAGAGCCCTCACGGACTCCCGGTTAACTTGCACTCCCCCCCATCCACACATGAGGGGGGTCCCCATGCCGTTAACTACTTTTCTGTGCTGTTGACAGTATTGCCTGGAGCTGTTTTAATCATGGATTGTTTCCAATTTTCTAATTAAAACTGTAGTGTCCATCTTTACAAATAAACGTTTGCCCGTAGGATAAACTTCTGCAGTTCACTTTCCGGGTAGCACACTCAAAGAGGCTTCCAGAGGATGTTTCCCCGTCCGAAAAGCTGTTTGACGCCCACCGGTGGTAGCGCTTTCCCGGGTGGGAGGGCTGGGGTCCTCTTCTCAGAGAGCACCCTCACCTGCTGCGGGGGGTCCTCACCGCCGGCCACTCGTGCGGGACGCGTTTCCTCTCTTAACCATACGGTGATTTAGTTACTAGCGAGGGGACATTTACAAGGATACTCAGAGGTCGTAGGTTGTTCAGTTATTTTTTAGTAAATTACTATCTGTGTTTCCTTTGCCCATTTTTACAGCATTTTTTCCCTCTTTTTTTTTTTTTTTTTAGTTTTTATTTATATTCCAATTAGTTAACATACAGCGTACTGTCAGTTTCAGGTGTGCAGTATAGTGACTGAGCACTTCCGAACGTCACCTGTGCTCATCCCGACAGGTGCCCTCCTTAGTCCCGTCACCTGTTTCACCCACTGTCATACCCACCTCCCCTCTGGTGGCCATCAGTTTGTTTTCTGTAGTCAACAGTCTGTTTCCTGGTTTGTCTCTCTCTCTCTCGTTCCTTTGCTCATTTGTTTTGTTTCTTAAATTCCACACGAATTTAAATCCTATGGTATTTGTCTTTCTCTGACTAACTTATTGCACTTAGCATTATACCCTCTAGACCCATCTGTGTTGTTGCAGATGGTAAGATTTCATTCCTTTTTATGCTTGCAGTGTTTTCTAATGTTTATTTATTAAAAATTTTTTAATGTTTATTCATTTTTGAGAGTGAGAGAGAGCACAGCAATGGAGGAGTTAGAGAGAGAGGGAGACACAGAATCCGAAGCAGGCTCCAGGCTCCTAGCTGTCAGCACAGAACCCGATGCGGGGCTCGAACTGTGACCTGTGAGATTGTGACCTGAGCTGAAGTCGGACACTTAACTGACTGAGCCACCCAGGAGCCCCTTAATTTACTTATTTTGAGAGAGAAAGAGCGAGCACCAACCGGGGAGAGGCAGATGGGGAGAATCCCAAGCAGGTTCCTTGCTGTTAGCATAGAGCCTGACACAGGGCTTGAACCCACAAACCATTAGATCATGATCTGATCCAAAATCATGAGTCAGACACTTAACTGACTGGGACATCTAGGCACCTTGCTTGTAGTGTTTTTTTTTTTTTAAGTAATTGGTTGTCTATGAGAGGTTAATTGCAAACATTTCCTCCCATTTATCCTTTAATACTACGTAAGCTGTTTTCTGACACGAAGAATTTTAGTTTAATCACATATTTGAATCTGGCCTTTGTGGTCTCTTGTCTTCCCTGAAAGTGGAAACAGATGGAGAAATGATGCTCAGAAGACCAAATGAATTCAGTAAAGTTAGGAGTAACTGTTAATGGAATAAAAAGAAGTTACTCTGTTTTTGTTGCTTAGCAAGTGAAAAAACTCAGACAGGCAAACTGGAATTGATACAGAGAATAATAAGTCATCTACTGATTGTTATAAAGGCAGGAGTCAGCCTGGAAATCAATGGCTATGAATTTTTGGTGAGTGTTTTAGATGACATGTTATTTGTTATTAGTAAATAGGTGGATAGAATATAATTTAGAAAATGGTTTTTGCATGCATGTCTGAAATGTTTGAGGAAGACTGTTTGGCATGGTCCCCATGGCCCTGGCTTTCTGGGAAGCTGTAGGGACTATATGGTGCCTACGTCTTGCAGGCTGGGCTCCAGGTGTTTTTACCAGAAAGAAGTACAGCTGGCCTCAAGATGGGCTAACCAGTACAACAGGTGAGGTGGGTCTTGTTTCTAGTTTTACTAAATAGAAACTTCATGTTGTAGTTAATGACCTTCACATACTCTAAATAAGGGTCATTTCTCTTATCGTGCTTATGGACTGGAAGTGGGATCTGCTAACACGCGACAGGCTAGGTGTTTGGAGGCCTTAAGCCTGGAAGTAAATATACTTATATTGGTTCTCGTTGTAATGTGAGGTGTGCAAGCTTGGGTATTTTATTTTGTTTATAAATCAGGGCTTAGAACAAGGATTCCCACACAGGGGTTGCCTAATAACCATATGTTGAATGAATAGATAAAGTGTATACTAAACAATAAGCTCAAACTCCAGTGAAACCTCATCCGCTGAAAGTTGGGGAACTGAGGAAACACCTTCTATGTGATGTCACTGCTTCTGAATGTCCTCTTAGGAATGGGGGGCCTGGGATGTCCGCCCTGGAACTCTTCTTGAGGGTTTTATGACCTCTGGCTTTGTTTCTGCTAATTCTTTGGTAGGTCTGTATCCTTTGCGGAACGTAGTGAATTTCAGAAATCTTTAAATGCGTCTTTCTCTTCTAAATTCATAGCTTTCTCTAACCTTGTTGATGACATTCACGGAGTGCTTATTATGAGTCTGGTAGATCGTCCTGGGCTAGAATATTTGTCAACCTTAGACACGCTTGCTTCTTGGCTTCTAAAAAGGCATTAATGGGGGCAAATTATAGTAATCCCGAGATGCCCTCAGGCACTTGCTGGGTTCTAGCCGCTCATCTCGCCTCCGCTGTGGAGTGTCCAGCCTCCCCTAGGTGATCAGGACCAGTTAGCCCAGCCAGCGCAGGAGCGCCCTTCCTTGCGGGTAGACTCGGCATGAGGACCCAAGTGCTGGGCCGCAGGCTGAACTCCAGTTCAGCGGAGCCAGTGTTGTGTCTCCTGGCGGAAACATCCCTCCGTTCGGAGCTCGGACCCCTAGGCTAGCAGCACCGGTGCCTAAGGTTATAGGAACGGGAGGCAAAAGTTTCCCTAGCGGGCACTAGGGATGATAGTGAGTACCCCACCCCCTGTCTCCCCGTTGATTCCTGGACCTGGGAGCCAACCACCATATTGGATATAGAGGCAGGGCACATCAGCCTCATGTGTATGCCATTTCCTGTTGCTGATGCAGTGCTGCTGCTGCGGGTCCAATGCTGGCTTAGGTAGCGCCTTGTTCACGACGGACAGTCAGGTCACACGGCTGGCGTGGAGGCCCATGATCAAGTGTTCAGTCTCTGCCCGGGGCCGGTAACGGGCCAAGGTCTG